CCCTGCTAAAAAAATAAAATTAAAAATTAACTGCATTGTATGCAAACCAAAACTATTCTGCCAGGAATACAACGTAAATTTTTTGCCAGTAATTTCCAGTAATAAATTTTAGTTAAGCCAGGAATTTAGCATTGGCCTTTCGGCAACGCTGATTGTACGCAAGTTTGTGACGATTCACATAGATGTATCCTCATCATCAGTGACGTCACTATTAGGCCGCTGGTTTGTTGACTTTGGCTGTCCACAAACTTGATATGTTTAAGCTGTTATTTTTAAAAGAAAAAGTAGTACCTATAATAATTATAGGTATAAATTATATATATACAGGGTGGCCGATTTATCTGAAGACATTGAAATATTTCGAAAACTACGCATCGGATCAAAAAAAGTTTTGAATAAAATTTGTTCGCCTGGAAGGGGGCCATCCAATGATACCACAGTCGACCCCTCACCACCACCCCCTGAGATGGGGGTGGGGGCAACTTTAAAATTCTAAATAGGAACCCCCATTTTTAATTGCAGATTCAGATTTCCCATTAAAAAAGAAGTAGCTTTTATGGAAAACCTTTTTTTTAATTCCGCTGTAATCGCAAGAAACCCTATTTTTGGGAATATCTTGAAAAATTGCAGATTCGGATTTCCCATTAAAAAATATTATTAGTGTATACGAGAATTCTTAGGGAATTCAAAATAAATTAAATTAATTAATTCCTTTTGATGACTAATGCGTCCAGGTATGTACATATGTAGGTATGTTATAAAAACATATTTATACCTTATGCGTCTATAAAAACATATGTTCCGTTTTTATAGACGCAACATTCGCAGTTGATTTAGAAACGTAGTGAGAAATGAATGCTGCAACCGTAGAAGAAAAAAATGAAATGATTCTGATTTTCGAAGAATGTAGGCGGAATATTGACGATGCTGTTGCCTTATATGCTGAACGTTTTCCAGATAATATTCGTTCACGCTCGTTTTTTTATAAAGTTGTTCAATCCTTTAAATCCGACGGTAGTGTAAAACTTAAAAAAAGAAAACGAAGAAATACTGTCACAGGAGAAGCTAATGAAATTAATGTGATAGCAGCTGTTCAACATAACCCTCATGTAAGCACTCAGGAAATACATCGGGATTTCCAGAGATAGTATTCGGAGAATATTGAATCGTCACAAGTATCACCCATACCGGGTTTCACTGCATCAGGAACTTCATGGCAATGATTTTCATCGGCGAGTAGAATTTTGTGAATCGGCAATTCAGCAAATACAAAGAAATCCCAATTTCTTCGCTAATGTACTATTTTCAGATGAGTCCACATTCACAAACCATGGTTCCGTTAATTGGCATAACATGCACTATTGGAGTGTGGAAAATCCCCACTGGTTACGACAAGTTGAACATCAACGTCCCTGGTCGGTTAACGTTTGGTGTGGAATTTTAGGTAACAAACTTTAGGTTCTTATTTCATTGATGGAACCTTAAATGGAATCAAATATCGAAATTTCCTGGAACATGAACTACCACCTCTACTTGAGGATGTTGCCCTGCCCATTCGACAAATTATGTGGTTTCAGCATGACGGTTGCCCACCCCATTACTCAGCAACAGCACGGGAAGTATTGAACCGTGATTTCAATGGCCGATGGATCGGCAGAGGTGGCCCGGTTAATTGGCCTGCTAGGTCACCTGGTTTGACATCGCCGGATTTTTTTCTGTGGGGTTATCTAAAAGATAAGGTTTTTCAACAAGCACTAACAACTCGGGAATACATGATACAGCGCATAAGAAACGCTTGTGCTGAAATTCCCGCAGATATGCTCCTCTCCTAGGTACAATCATTTGAAAAAAGAATAAATAAGTGTCTAGAAGTTCAAGGTCACAATTTCGAACATTTAATCTAATTTATTAAACAGTGAGAGGCAGGGGGACTCTCTTAAAACTAGCACCACGATGGGAACAAAAAACTACTGCGTCCTGGTCCTTGTTCTTGGGTAACGTTAAAAATAGATGTTAACTTATTGATATACGAATAAAATCCACAAATTAAACAAGTTTTTCTTTTTTTCGATCCGATGTGTAATTTTTTAAGATATTCCCAAAAATCGGGTTTCTTGCGATTACAGCGCCATCTCTCAGGAATTAAAAAAAAGTTTTTCCACAAAAGTTACTTATTTTTTAATGGGAAATCTGAATCTGCAATAAAAAATGGGGGTTCCTATTTAGAATTTTTAAGTTGCCCCCACCCCCACCCCAGGAGGTGGTGGTGAGGGGTCGAATTTGGTATCATTGGATGGCCCCCTTCCAGGCGAACAAATTTTATTCAAAACTTTTTTTTATCCGATGCGTAGTTTTCGAAATATTTCAATGTCTTCAGATAAATCGGCCACCCTGTATATACCGTATAATACTACTATAGTAAACATTTTTTCGGTAATTTTTTTTTCATGAATGTTGTTTGGACTTTTCTTTTCTAGTTGTTTTAGTTGAAAATTGATTTGACTATACAATTTCCCACGAATACAGGATTTTATGTTAAAATTTCCCTTTTACCTTTGGCACTTAAAATTTCCCACGAATCGGGAAATTTCCCACGAGTTGGCAACACTGAACGCACCATAACCACCAACACTGACAGACAGACTGTTTCGACCTGTTTGGCATGGAGCCTATACAAGGAGCCCGAACTTCATGTAAACAAGAATCTTCCTAAGATAAGAGGGCGCTAGTGTACTACCGGTCCAAAACAGTAGAGTGGTATAACCAGAGATGGCGCCACTACCTACCACTTCTTATTGTGGAAATAATTGAGGTTATGCAACTGTCAGTTTATCGCTTTTTGAAAACAATGTACACATGTACCTGGTTTTGTGTATAAAGGTCTTAATTTACAATAAATTTATATCAAATTTAACATTGGAATTCATGTTGGACTTTCTGATGTAGAGTATAGTACAGTTTTTTATAAATACGTGTTTTTTTCTATAAAAGAATGTCGTGTGATGCTAAATCGTGTAAAACCATAAACTAACAGAATATTAAATCCATATGGTATTTATTTTTAGTTTTATAGGTAGATGGCTTAAATAAAAGTTCAATATAAACAAATAAAGGTGGAAATTATTAAATATGCTGTTTACTCATTTTATACATACATTTTTATTTAAATTAAATTTAAATTATTAAATAGCGGTGTATTTCTAACCTGGAAATCTAATTTTGCCTCTCCAGAGTCGTAAAATCACTTCACAGATTATAAAGAATCACTTATATTTCACAACCAAAACCTATTTATTTTGCTTCTCCAGAGTCGTAAAATCACTTCACAGATTATAAAGAATCACTTATATTTCACAACCAAAACCTATTTATTAGAATCTACCTAGGTACAGCCATAAATAACAAAACGATTCGTACGTCAAAACATTGCAAATCAATTGTCAAAATTACTTGCTTACTTCACATGTATTTTTGATACTATTTTCACGTCATACGGACGCATTGACAAACAGCGCCGCTGGTGGTGAAAAAAAAAGACTTAAATTATGCAATTTAGTGGACAGGTTTTGTCAATTTTCCCTATTAAGTTCGGGCTCCTTGTGTAGGCTCCATGCTGTTTGGTCTCATCAGTGTCAGGCAGTCCAATTATCTATGAGGCAGTCAGTGACGGGAGACACGCATCAAGCTCGACAATGTTCACTTATAAAGATATAAATGACCAAGACAGCGGCGAGATGCATCGGCAAGTCAGTCTGCAAACAATATTGCAAAAATTATCTTAATGCAATATTTCGGATGAAACATAGTCCAAAACTAAAGTTAAAATTATAAATGTAATATTATACTTACAATGTTCCAAAAATCTTGCAAACTAAATGTTTATATTGTTTATATAAAGCAACATTTCAAAAAATCATCTTAATGTAATATTTAGGATAAAACATTGCCCAAAACTTATTAATGTAATATTATAATTGCAATGTTTCAAAAATCTTGCAAATTAAATGTTTATAGGTATTGTTTATATAAAGTTACATTGCAAAAATCATCTTAATGTAATATTTCGGATGAAACATTGCCCAAAACTTATCAATTTAATATTATAATTGTAATGTTTCAAAAATATTCCCAAACATTCCAAAATAAATGTTTCTATTGTAGGTACCTATATTTAAAGTAAAGTTGCAAACATTTTTCATTTGAAACTTGTGTTAATATTTCAATTGAAACATTGAAAAAAAGTTATGTCTGCAATATTATAATTGTAATGTTTAAATACTTTTATGCAACATTTTATACTAAATGTTACAAATATAACATTGTAAAAACTTTCCATGTGAATCTTTAAATAATGTTTCAAATTTAAGGTTGTTGAATATTTTGTAAGGTTTCTTTCCCAGTGGAAATATTCTATCAACTATAACCACCATTATATTTAAATTTGCCGCGTACTCCTGTGTAAACCTGTCTCGTTTTGCAGCGACATCTACTTTATTTTTAAATATATATTATTTAGTTAAATTATGATATATTTTAGTAAAACTAATATATATCTAAGAAAATAAGTTAAAATATATATATTTCAAACAATATATTTATATTTTTACAAATTATTCTATATTTTATAAATCATAATTATGGCACAAACGGCGATATAACCAATAGATAAGACAATAGTCAATTTGTAAATGAATTTGAAATGGAATAAGGTGAGTTTAAGAATAATATGAACTTTTCAGGGTATAGGGGGATACATGTTAAATGTACAGACACCATTAACTCATTTTTATTAAAAAGTTGATAAGCCGAGTTTTGGAATGGACCTCTTCATGTTATAGGTATTAGATCTGGATGCAAATACTTATCATATAATAAAATCCAAATAGAATGCTTATATGTTTAACAGATTCTGTTAAGGGCCAGCAAACCACCCTAAACCCACTCTGCGTGTTTCCCTAGAGCGCAAACTCAAAAATTGACAGCGGGTCGCTCGGCAGTGTTGCGTTGGTTTTCTAAGTGGTAGTCAAAACGAAAATTCCGCGGCGTTCGATTCGTTAAAAATCCGACGCGCAGAGTTGAGTTCAAGTGAAAAACGGCGTGCCTAAACGTGAGTGCCGGGCCCCGAAAAGGGCTCCAACAAGGATATGGCCAGTTACTATCATACCAATCAAGGATTAGACCTGTAAGTGAACAAATGTTATTCAATCGTTGTTATTCCTTTTTTTAACGCACACTACGTTCCTTTATTTACAAAATGGCCGTATCCATCCTTAATAAACAACGATTATTATGAAATATTTCAGGAAATGTTTTGTTTCAAAGCACACCGCAGATGTTTTTAAATTGTTTTAAAAATTTAAAATACGCGAGGTCACCGAAACGGTTGGAATATTATTCAATTAAAAGATTCGAATTTGCCAATGATGGGAATTTTTATTATTATTGGAAACCTTTGTAACTGTTTAACTATCAATTCATTTACTTATAAGTATTATTCAGTTTTTATAACCATTGCAGTTCTATGTTTAAATAGGTACCTACCTATACCTACCTAAATGGAGGTAAATTACCTACATAGAAACATTATCGTGCACATTTTAATAATAAATAAAATAAATCTTTTTAGAATTCGTAACTTTATCAACAGGATGTGATAAGGATTTGTACCTATTTTATATAAATACATCTGTGGATATGTAGTTCCTATAAAAACCTCATTATTTTTTTACTCTTAGTTCTTGTTAAAGGTTAAAAGGCGCCTTAAATCATTCTCAAAATCAGGTAGAATACTGTTATCCTTCAAAAGAATAATGATGACATATGTGTTTCCTTTAAAAATTCTTTCACGTCCTTTTCAAAAGATTGGGTCATTAGAGATTTAAACATATTTGACAAAGAAATTTAGTTAATTTACTAAAATAATTAGATACATAACATTTAAACAGGTTTAACCCTATGGGCAAATTATATAATCCATTGCCACGATAAGCAGCCGGCCCAGTGACCCTATATCAACAATTTAGAGGATTTGAGAGGTTTTCTAAGGATTTTAAGAAACTATCTACTATCTATAATAATAAATATTGGACATTGATAGATATTCTTCCCCATATAGGTAATATGACAACATCCCAATGGGACAGCTAGTGTTGGAATTACTTATGGTCAAAAATTTAAGATTTTTATTGTTATTTTTTGATAAAAAAGATGTAATAACATGATAAATAATTATTATCAATAGGATGTTATAATATTTAGGAAATTTTCAACCATGATTACAATATGCTTTAAGAAACTTAGATATAAATTGTAGACTTAAAGTTTAGGTACCTACCTATTTTCTGAATAAAATGTTCGTTTTACACAAAAGTGAATGAATCCGTCTGTGATTTATTTATTCATGTGTTTCAAATATTGTACCTAATATTAGTAAAACATGTTTCAAATTAAATTTCTAATTATAAAAAATTCCCGCCAAAAATTTTTCAGTGAATATAGGTACCTACTTAGAAGTCGCGGACACGGAATGTTGAACGACTATCATCCCGTTGAAATCAAAATCGTAAACTTCCTATATGGACAGCCAACCTTACTTCCAGTTATCACTAGTCTTGTCATTTTGACATCCAAAGCAAAAATGGTCAATATTGTATCTGTTGGCGCCAAGTATTGCGCCATGGGTTGGTTTAAGTTGTCGATGTGACTTTGGTTACATAACCTTTATTTTGGGTCATTGTTAGTTGAGAGTCTCAAGACTATCGATAATACTTATATATTAAAAAATAGTTATCCATGATAACTATAACAAAAATAACATAACATAACAAAAAATAATAATAATAAAAAATATATAACATAAAAAGAATACATCATAAAATATAAATAAAAAAATAATATATACTTAACATACATAAACAAAATACAGATAATATAAAAGAAAACTATAAGAGAAGAAATACAAGAAAAAATATAAGCAAAAATACACGAATAAAATAAGAAGAATGAAATAAGAAGAAAGATAATAAATTAAGAAAATATAAGAAGAAAGATATTCATGGATATGGAGGAAATAAGAAATTAAAAATATTTATTTAGATGAATATTAAATTAAATTTATAAATGTCATAATAATTACACATACTATATAGATAACAAAATAAAGGAATATAACTAAGTACAATCTCTTCTTTTATTAATCTGTGGTGCTTTGATACACCAGTATCTTTGCTATTTACCGGACAACCAAATTATGACGTTCAAAATTCCGTATCCGCCCCTGTACCAATACCGTTGAGTAAATCAACGCCAATACACATCTCAACATTTCTACTTTTTTAAATTATTGCGCTTTATTATTTTTTATAAAGATATGTTTAATCGAGTGTTTAATTTAATTGGCAATTTTTAAGTAATATAGGTACTACTATAAACAGTTGAAATGCGTCTGTTCCTAAGAAAATAAGTTAATTTTAGGGAAAGGTATTTTGCTTTTTCATGAGTATCCCAACTTTTTTTATCAGGGAGCGTTTTGATAGAATATGCTGAGTAGCAGTGAAAAATTCAAATAACTTAAATTATGTACACTCAGCTGCAAAAAAAACGACCCACCCATATACTTTTAGTGGAGTTTTATACTTTGTATAGAGTTTTAATAGCAAGTGTATCCACTACCATAGCATTTAAAATGCTATAGTAGTGCTTTTTAGATCTTAAAAACTGTGGTTTTTTAATGACACCAATATGTTTAGAATCGGACTTTTTTTGAAGTTATAGGTAGAGGTATACCAATAATTGTTAACCAACAAAAAAACATAAGAAAGAAACAATTTTAAAATTAATTTATATAAAATGATTTTTTTATATTTGGATTTGCCACCAACTCCTAATTAAACAAAATCCATGTTGCAGGGATCAAATTATTCATACAACGTTTTTATGATACCCTTAAAACACATCTTGCAAGCATTCAAACGCGTTTGCATTTCATTTTAGGGCCCGTTTAGACGCTCATGCAAATTGTGCGAATTGGCTTGTGCAAGTCACTTTGCACAAGTAAATTATTGCGTTTAAACAGAATAATTAAGCTTGCGTAAGCCAAAAACTTTGGCTTGAGTAAAATCTATTTTGTCAGATAATTTGCATGAGGTTGGTGCAGTTACATGAGCGTGAAAACGATGTTACAAACAGTTTTCGCAAGTTTACCGACAACATAATATGTATTATATATTATATGCGTTTTTGAGGTTATATTATATTATAATCATTTGTTTAGTCTATTTTATAATTATTAAACTGACATTTTTGTATCAACCAAGGTTTAGCCTATCTTTTTGTTTTTGTTTTTTATTTAATTTTAGTATTTTTTAAAAACACAAACCGCTGTCGTAGCGAAAAGTAATTCCTTATTAATATTTTCCATTAAAACCTCAACTTTTCATGCGAACTGTGCAAATTGCATGAGCGTCTAAACGGACGACTAATTCATTTGCCCAAATTTGCATGCACAAATCAGTTCGCGCTTTAGCGTTTAAACGCACCATTACGCACAAAGTTTGAGGCACTCCAAGCCCGCCTGGAGTGATATATTGAAGTTCCATGGTAACTAAGCAAGCGACAAAGTAAAAAAAACGCTCGCTCCTCGGAAAAGTGCAACTTTGCGCTTTCTTTCGGAAGCGCAAATTTGTACTTTTCGCTTGGTTGTAGAAAAAAATGGCACTAATTTGTTACGAAGAAAGTTTTTCTAAATTAATTTATTATAAATTTTTGAGACAAATTTTAAACAAAAATGCCCAATAAATGTGTATAAATGTTATTCAATATTTGAGACAAATTTTAAACAAAAATGCCAAAAAAATTTGCATAAAATTTAATGTTGGTAAATATTTGTGTCAACTGTGTTTTAAGGGTATCTTGAGAGATATCTTTCAATTCCCTAATTATTGCCGTTCTCATTGTCAGTTCCATCATGGGTGCAGAATTTTTGCCGGTACTTTAACTTATAAATACCAAAGATAATCAAAACCACAGTTTTTAGGCTTTTAAAAATACAAAAATGTTTACGTAGAGTGCTACTGGGTCGATGTTTTGCATTTTGACATTCATTAAAAGGGTAAAACATATATGTTATAGTATACTTTTGGATAATTTTTAATTTTTATATATTGAAACTTTGACTCGATTATTTTCTAATTTTTGTGTCTGATTTCATAAAATATTTCCAGTTAAATTATTTCAAAAGTAGCCGCTTATTTAGGTTACTTACATTTTATGTGAGCCCATATACGCACACATTTGTATTATCACCACGAGCTCACATTGAGTTCACTTGAGATTCAAGAGCATATACGCTTAAAAATTCAAAATTTATGATTGCATTAAAATTATGACTTGAATCAAAATTATCATTTTATTTACACAATTATTATTATTAGAGTAACAAAATGTTGTTTTTTAGTTGAATCGAGTTAAATGTATTCTACCCTTATATGTCCAAATCGTCCCTGTCCTTGAAATTGTTTAGATTTTAAATATATCAACAATCACAAGTGAGATCATGGTTATCGTATTATCGAATACATGCGTATATGAGCTCTCTTAGCTACTTTAGCTACTTTAGTTTTCATATACATACATATATCATGTGGGAATTTATACGAATACTACTGTAGTAACAAATAACAATAACTACAAATAAATATAACCAAGAGAACGCGAGGTCATTGTCGAAGACATCAAAGAAACAGCTGATTGATACAATGGCTTCACAATTCAGCGTAAAAAGTGGCGCAAGCTAAAACAGCCTTAGGAACGTCTTGCAGAATCTCGGTACCGCATTGTTATCCTAAGATGAAAAAAGAACTAGAAGGCATTGTATTGCGACGTCTGGGCCATAGGTATAAGTTAAATGCACAAGGGGAGACGGACGAACCACCCTGCTTTCGAATGCAGCTGTCTTTGCACCGTTTCTCTCGCCCTAGCACGCGTCTGCCGCCGCCTTCCGCATTTCTTTGCTTGTTTGTAAGATTCGTGTTCATTCCAAAATATCAGATCTGGAAAATATCATGATATTTATATAAATATCCAAATATCTGATATATATATCGATATATATATCCGATATATATTAAAATTTGGATATTTATTTCTTTTAATTTTAAAATTTTATAAACATCTAAATTTGTA